ACATACACACACACATACACACATACACACATACACACATACCCACATACCCACATACACACATACACACATACACACATACAGACACACTAACTGCAAAGACTCCCATTTTGTGCTTCGCACATGGGAGTCAAAAATGAGTGGACAGCAACACTTTACATACAAGACATAGTACAGTGACCCCTTGCTAAGTCGCGCCTCGGTAAGTTGTGATACGGCTAAGTCGCGGGTACATGGATGGCTCCTAAAATTTCTATTGTTATTTAACAGCAGTTCTGAAGTACAAAGACTAATGTTTCGAGGCATAGTGTTTTTAACTAACCGTTAAAGAGACAACTTAACACCTACTGTCCGTCAATTGCTGAGATGCAATGGGCGACAGAGGCCTTACTCAAGGTGTCAACAGAGGTGTCGAGTAGTGATCGTACGTGCTTCTCGGCCGGTCCCATTTTGGTATACCTCTATAAAACTTGCTACAATGAGTTAAATTCATTACCTGATCTCTATTTCTCAACTGAGCAGTATGTCAAAGTGAAAGCTATCCAGCCTGTTCGTACGCCATAAACTCACAGCGATCGACTGTGTCAAGAAGAGGTGAAACCAAGTGAAGGGTTGCATGTGATCTAGCAGTGGGTGAGCCCACTATTCGTGGGTGGGTAAAAAGTGAAGAGGGAATTTGTTTTCAAAGTTGACCAAGAGGCGGGACTGAACAGAAAAACGTGTGAAATTGTCCGACAATGTTGACATCGATAAAGCTGTTTACGTTTCTTGAAGAACGGTCTGCCGGAACTCCACTCTCTGGTCCCATCACCCAATGCAAAGCGCAGAACTCAGATATGACGACTTTGAATTTGGGGCCAGTTCAGGGTGGTTCTTGTGATGGAAGAAGACACGCTATAAACAAAGTCTCAATCCAAAGCGAAGCTCGATCTGCGAACATGGACGCTGTCAGAACTTTTTCCGAAAACTGAGAGAAATTATCTATGAAGGTAGTTATTCCGACGAACAAGTTTATAATTTTGGAAGCTGTTACTGTCGAAGTCGCAAGCAACAGCATACGACCCATATAATATTGGACACAAACAAAATAAACAACGTATCACTGCAATGTTTACAGCAAACATAATCATGATCTTATTTGAATACTGCCTGACACACAATTTGTAAATATGTTTCTAATCTTTCAATTAACTAAACCAGGGGTTTATATGTGCTTTTTATGTGTTTTCAATGCACGACCCCCTCCCCCTTAAATTTTTGAAAGTTCTCTTTGTGCTCGTCATATTAAAGCGGAGGGGTTGTCGCGAGCGTGTCCTTGAAACTTGAGTTCAAAGTGGCGTATACAACAGATTGTTCATTTACATCAAAACACGTGTTCCGTGTAGTAGTAATATAGCCAAAAATAAAAACAGCCGTTATTCAGCCATCTTTGATCTGATTATGAAACACACTGTATGATGTATGTGCCAAATACGAATGAAAATGGTACATAAATTGTGGAAATATAGTAGTAAGGCCAAAAAGTCAGATGGCTGGCAATCGGCCATCCTTGACCAAATTTTGAAACAAATTGTCATGGACATGCATCCTAACATGTATAAAGTACATGTATGTGCCAAATTTGAATGAAAACTGACAGAGCACGTCCAAGATACTGCATAAAAAAACAAAAACAAGATGCCTGCCAGTCGACCATCTTTGATCCAATTGCGAAATAAATCGCCATTGACATGTATCCTAACATGTATAATTTATGTACCAAGTTTGAATGACAACTGACAAATCCTGTCCAAAATACAACATTTTCAAAAAACAAGATGGCTGCCAGTTGGCCATTTTGAATCAAATCGCTAAACCACTGCATGTGCATATGTCCCACATAAAGTACTAGGCACATGCAAAGAATGAACGGAATTGGTCCGAGGGATTCTGAGATATGACTCCGGATGAACGCATGGACGGAGACCGAATTATAAGTCCCCGTTTTCGGACTTCGTCCGAACGGGGACTAATAAAGTATGAAGTGAGTTATTACCTGTGATAGGTTTTGGCCCAGTAGTAATAACGGTATCTTCATTTTCTTCTGTGAGTTCTCCTTCTTCCAACAAAATACCAGTATCAGTTGCACTTACCATAAGATCTAACTGACCATCGACCCAAGCTAACTCAGCATCCTTAGCCTTAGCAAACTCTAATGAACTGACAAGGGCATCTTTAAGCTTCACCTAAAAATGTAAAGACAATTTAAACTGACTATGACAAAATGGACTGTGATATGGGTTTGTTTGCCACATGACATTAGCTATGATATGTGTGTTTGTCACATGACACCTATCATGGTATGTGTGTTTGCAATATGACAACAGCAACAGCAACTTGCCTGGAATATGTGACTTTCCATGGTAGCATCAACAGTTTCATCAACACGTGGCAGTAATACTTTACTAATACCAGCAGTAACACGGCAGTATTCACCAAATGATTCAGTAGCTTCCTCTGTACCATGAACAATAATCTGGAGAAGAGAAATCAATTGCTGTAATTATTTTTTTTAATTGAACTCAAATTAAACTACTAAATTGTAATCAAAGATATACGGTATATCAACTTACCACATGTGAGTGACAAGTCAAATATATATGGTGTATTAATATTGACTTACCACTTGTTTTGGTTTCATAATTGAAATAATCTTTCTGATAGACTCTCCATCTGAACGGCCTTCAAAATCAATAAAAATAACAGGACACCTAATAGAACAGTAGAGTGTATACAGTTAAACAGCATCATTGCATGATGGTTGGGTACCTATTTACCAAGTACAATGTTTTAAGATTTTTCGTGACACACAACTAACAATGCCTTCCTTGTCTGTGAAATATTTATTTATTGAAATTGATTTTTTTCCCCAAATCAGTAAGATTTAAAACATGAAATCACAACTTATGGTAAAAATGCAAAGCGATAAATCCAGTACAACATCCACAACAACAGGAACATGCTTTTATATTTGATGCTTTTTTCATTTCTAACAATATAAATTTTTTATATGATATTATTGAAGGCATTATGTTATTCACTGTGGACCTCCAAATAAAATATCTTTTATAAAGAACAGACAAGTTTTAAACTCACAAGATGTCCAGGGTAACATCTTTTGAGATACACTTTGTAGGTACATCACTGATATCTGAAAGATTAATCAATAATTAACATAACACATTATAATATTAATAGTGATGTCACTGTATTTTAATAGTGTCATTTTAATTTCGTATTTAATTTGCATCATTTCAATACAGTAAATACGAACACATGTACACTTGATAACAAAAATGAAATCATAAAATCGAATAAATAAATCATAATACGTTACCAGGTTCCATTTCAGCATCTCCATTCAATCCAAGCTCTTTATCCTGTGGATACATTTTAAAAATAGTAAATCCACTACATTAATCTTATAATTTTACCATTATCAACAGACAATCAGTGAGTGTGGCTAAAATATCACTAAGTCAGTGGGTGTGGCTAAGACATCACTAAGTCAGTGGGTGTGGCTAAGACATCACTAAGTCAGTGGGTGTGGCTAAAATATCACTAAGTCAGTGGGTGTGGCTAAAATATCACTAAGTCAGTGGGTGTGGCTAAAACATCACTAAGTCAGTGGGTGTCACTAAAACATCACGACGACAGTGGGTGTGGCTTATATACCACTGACAATAACATAATATTATAAATATTATTATTCATACCAGTTTCTTGTCATCATCTACTGCCATTAAATCGGATACCATGTAATCTTCTGCTTTTATAATCTCACCATAATCATCCCACTTTATTCTTTCTTCGTGGGTAGGAAACATTGGATAAGCTTTTTTGGCTTGCTTGAAGAAACCAGCCTTTCTACTTCCCTGAAATGATGAAACAATTACAATAAGCTTTATAGTGTTAAGAACATGTTAAAATCAGATTGTCACTTTAATAACAAAGTTTATATGAATATTGTTATTACATTGAACATTATATGAATTTTATGTAGTGCAAAATTACTGTACATGTGTATTGGCGCATCTAACATGGTTGTTCTGAATTCAACACAGGTGTACCAAATGTTTATGTCAAATTTGGGAGGGATACATAAACTTAATGACTTTACTATAACAGCTTTTACATATTTATTTGCATAACGTGCGACAGTGCAGGTTGCAACACAAGCTTCTGTAGAGTACACAGCAGCTTCACAGGGGAGATGCACTTCAAACATACAACCAATATGGAATGTACTCATAGTTAAAACAGCTTATCAATTTCATAATATTACATGACTACTTACTTCACTTTTCATCATGAGATCATGTTTAGCCTTGGCACCTAAAGAGACTCCATCCACTTCCATCTCATCTTCACTCTCATCACTTGACTCACCCGACAACAAACTAAAATTAACACATATTATTATTTACATTATGAAGCTTAATTACAAGGAATCTGACCAAGCATTCAATCTGAAATATACACAGTAGTTTGTCACTTAAACAATAACAGAAATTACCCTGCTTCTCTGTCTTTCATTTTGGCTTCATGTTCCTTTTCTTTTTCTTTTTTCAAATATTCTTCTAATTCACTTCCTTCTAGCCTGACTCTCTTCCTCACCTGTAGACATAATACATAGAATAAGGATGTGTACTGCTAAATAGAAAAGAAGCGACAACACTATTACACTGAAAGCTATAAGGAGACGCTGCTAAACTGGGATCTAAGGAGTGACACTGATAAACGTAAATCTGTCAGGCAGCTCTGCTAAACTGAAAGCTATGAGGAGACAACTTCACTGTGTCATCTTCAAAGACAGTGGAGCTTAAAAAAATGCAATTGTTATGTCAACAAAAATAGAGACCTATAATAATGTGTCTATGAAATGTTATCTTGCATCATAAAATTGAAGAATACTTACTGTTAAAGATACTGCCTTTGGGGATTGTTCAATAAGATTTCTCGCTAATGTACCTGGTGATGATCTCGTTGTAAGTATGATACAATTATTAGGATTACCACACCAATCTAGAAACAGACTTCTTGAATAACCACATTCTAAATCTGGTACACTGGCTAACACAGTCTGCAAATCAACATAAACACAAGTCAATGACATAATTCCCTCTGTACCGGTAAATGCAGTTACCATTTGGATCAAGTACACCCAGTCTTAGGATCAGGTATTTTTCAAGTACACTAGGTAGGTTTATATTATGTTTCGGTTGTTTTTCAAGTACACTAGGTAGGCTTATATTATGTTTCAGTTGTTTTTCAAGTACACTAGGTAGGCTTATGTTATGTTATACACTAGGTATGATTATGCTTTGGATCAGTTGAGTTCTCTGAGCAATCTTATCATTGGATCAGGTATTTTACTGAGTTCTCTGTGAGCAATCTTACCATTGGATCAGGTATTTTACTGAGTTCTCTGTGAGCAATCTTACCATTGGATCAGGTATTTTACTGAGTTCTCTGTGAGCAATCTTACCATTGGATCAGGTATTTTACTGAGTTCTCTGTGAGCAATCTTACCATTGGATCAGGTATTTTACTAAGTTCTCTGTGAGCAATCTTACCATTGGATCAGGTATTTTACTAAGTTCTCTGTGAGCAATCTTACCATTGGATCAGGTATTTTACTGAGTTCTCTGTGAGCAATCTTACTTTTGGATCAGGTATTTTACTGAGTTCTCTGTGAACAATCTTACTTTTGGATCAGGTATTTTACTGAGTTCTCTGTGAGCAATCTTACCATTGGATCAGGGATTTTACTGAGTTCTCTGTGAGCAATCTTACCATTGGATCAGGTATTTTACTGAGTTCTCTGTGAGCAATCTTACCATTGAATCAGGTATTTTACTGAGTTCTCTGTGAGCAATCTTACCATTGGATCAGGTATTTTACTAAGTTCTCTGTGAGCAATCTTCCCATTGGATCAGGTATTTTACTGAGTTCTCTGTGAGCAATCTTACTTTTGGATCAGGTATTTTACTGAGTTCTCTGTGAGCAATCTTACCATTGGATCAGGTATTTTACTGAGTTCTCTGTGAGCAATCTTACTTTTGGATCAGGCATCTTACTGAGTTCTCTGTGAGCAATCTTACCTTTGGATCAGGTATTTTACTGAGTTCTTTCAAACTGTGACATAACTGTAGATGTTTGAACTGAAATGGATTATTCCGTCGATCTTCAAAAGATCGCATAATTTTCTCACTCATCCACTCTACTTGAGACTTTGCAAACTCTACCACATTGTAACTGACATTGTTTAGCAATGCTAGAGAGTAGGTGCCTAAACCAGATTCCTGAGTTCTCCACATTTGGTCCTATGAAACCAGAATAAATATCAGTATTATTCCATATGTATATCATAATTCAAAATTAAAAGACACAGTAATAATGAATTTTATCTTTCAAACAAACAGCAAGTCGAATACTATTCACTAGCAAGTAACCAAAAAATGAAACACTCCCACCACACTGATAAAGCGCTCTCATGCATTGAGATGTGATCATTTTCATTTTTAGCGAATAACAACATTCTATAAAATGACAGACATTACTACAATTTTTACTGCAATGACATACCAAGAGTTGACACAACTCTAACACTCGACCAGCTGTATCCACGGCAACCAAAACATTACCACCTTTCCTCATTGTACGTAAAATATTTGCTGAGTGAAAAAAACAAAAACAAAAACAATCAAATGATGTCAATACAAACATTACTTATTTTGGTTTACTTTTTTTTTTTATAACTCATGAAATTTCTCCTAACACTTAATGTGCCTGTTTCTTTTTTTCATATGTAACGTATTTCTGAAGATCACATAATGGTACTTTAGTTAATTTACAAGATCAACAGGTGGGACTAAACTCGCTGATACATAATATGACAACAGTAGAGTATCAATGTAAACTTACTCATGAGTTGTTCATCTCTGGTTTTCCGTTTTGCTTGAAAGTATGTACTATTAAATGCATCAGTAATGAGAAGTGCTGGTCTATTAATAGATTCTAAGATACCACCATTTAAATGTCTTTCCTTTTTATGATTATAATCAACAGCATATATAATATCTTCTTCTCCTTCTTTCAGTATCCTCCATATCGTTCCTCCTATCATATGACCCGCTGGTACGGGCATGATTGTCAAACCATGACCTTTCCCTACAAATATAATCACGATAAATAAATTGGCAATTACAATTACAATTATTGAAAGGTACCATATACCCATATACCTCACTGTTTTATTATAATTAGCCAAACAACTTCACAACAAAACACAGTTGTTGATATCCCATATTCATCCTGCAAACAAGACATTCCATGATGTTTCACATTTATCTCACCACAACAGGATGTAAAGCTGAAATAAGTTATTACTGACCTTTCATTTCTATAATCTGGGAATATTTTAATTGAATAATTTTATCAAATGCTGCATCCACGTCATCAAGTGTAAACAAATCAAACTCTTCTGTGTTGTGTCGGGACTGAAAACAAATAATATAACACCACTATTACGACCTTTCTTATTGAGAATCTAGATTATTGAATAACAACAGATTTCAAGATAGATACAAGATAGACTGAATGGTATGTTTTTATCACACTGGTGATTATGACATTTTATACCATTAATAATACAAATTAATTTGTATAGATATCTATACAAATTGTTTTGATTCATACGACATAATAAGAAACAACATGTTCAGTGACTATACTAAGTAACAGATCTCTTCTGATCAGCAGTTATAATGTTTTCGTTCTCTGCACTTATTCCTTTGTCTTGAAAAATGTTTTATTTTAGCCAAATTGTCATGTATATCTTGGAAAGTCGCATCGATATTTGGTTGATATTTTATAAATTGATAAAAATTTGGCTAATAATAGATTGCACTGATGCATTGATGTGTTTTAGACACAAGCAAGTTTATCTACCCAATCTTAGTCACTTGCTTATTTGTCATATCAAGCATACAAAGTGGATATTCTACAAATATAGCAAATACAGCAATACAAGTACATGCATGTCTCAGGAACTATTGATACTGTAGTACCACTGGAAGCACATTTACTTTATCAATAAATGACAGAGGCAAAAATAAGTCAGATTTTAATGATCCAACATACATAATGTAATTTTTGGTGTATGTGAGCTATTTGAAATGTGCTTTTAATATCTAGAGCAAATAGAGTATGCATAAATATGTCAGTTTTTAGGCATTAAGAGCAAATACAACAACCAACTGATTTCATATGCACAGGTAAAAACTATGATACATATATAATGCACTACATTACCTGAAATAAATCATACATAAACATCTGTCCCATTTTATATACAGGAATGGTAGCATAGATTGGGCAGTTTAAAGCACATTTACCAACTATGTATGGTAATGCTCCTATGTGGTAGCCATCTGGATAGGATAACAGGACTGCATTCAATCTGGCCGATATGTCTGAAATATGTAATAAAACAAAACACAATGAGGTATTTTCACTACAGAACTCATTTCCACGAAG